GGCACTTATGCCGCTGAGCTAAATCCCCAGCCCCTCAAAATATTTTATTGTAATTTTTTTTCAGTTAAAGGAAATTTGACTTCTCTTTGACATATCCGAGATGCCAGCATCCCTATCTTGTGCTTCGGAGTCAAGAGTAAGTAAAGTAAGGGTCAGACAAACACAAGCACCATAGACAGTGAATCTGTAACCCCAATGGCTATACTATTAATTGATCAACAGATGGGTGGTGTACACAATGTGAGTACACAGGATGAGAGATGATTCATAGGTCAAGTGAAGCAGAATGGGATGGCTCAAGATATCATCACACGAGAGCCAGAAGTATAGCTCAGTAGCACAGTGCCTGCCTGGCAAGCATGAAGTCCTGATTCTTGGTTCAAAAAAGATTGCATCACACTTAAAAATTGTTTATTTTTGAAATTCCCATTTAATATTTTCAGATTATAGTTGATCGTGGGTAACTAAAACCTCAGATGGCACATACCTGTAATCTCAGAATTTAGAAAGCTAAGGCAGGAAGACTGATACAAATTCAGGGCTAAGTGCACAAGTTGGCATGAACTATATAGTGAGAGCCTGTCTCAAAAAAAAAAAAAAAAAAAAAAAAACCAAAATGAAAAAGAGAACCCCTTAGCATCAAATAGGAGCATAGTCTGAGCACTGAAAGGCCAGAGCAGAAAGGAAAGGCCATGGCAGTTATTTTCTCCAGCATTTCAGGATACATCAATCACTCATCAAAACCAAGGCCAAAAGTTCATTAGGATCCTGCCCTTCAGAGGGCATGACCTTCACCTAGAGTCAAGACCTGAGTTTCACTTCTCTAAGCAGGGGGACTCAATATTTACTCAAATATTCCCTCTAGCACATACCTATAATCCCAGCTCTTTGGAAGGCCAAGGCAAGAAGACTGCAAGTTTGAGCCCAAGCTGGGCAACTATTTTTTTTTTTTATTTTAAGGGGATTAAGACAAAAGAGGATATAGCAAAGCAGATCAGATCAGAACAATGTAAGAAATACAGTATTTCACCACAAGACAACCCTAATTAACAGTAACTACCATGTCTCTTTCTTTGAAATACTTGAGCATAACTTCATATACAATAGTATCAAACATACAAAATAGTATAAAACCATTCATGAGAATGAAAGTATTACAGGGCATTCAGAACCAAATAACAGAGAACAAACAATGGCTATTATCTCATTTTCCATAGAAAATCTGTTTATACTATCAGACATAATAATATCTAAAAGGATACAATATGATAAGGGGCTGGGGATTTAGCTCAGCAGCATAAGCGCCTGCCTTGCAAGCACACAGTCGTGAGTTCGATCCCAGGTACCGATAAAAAGGAAAAAGACAAAAAAAAAAAAAGATACAATATGATAGAACCAATGGAAACAGAACAAAAGCATGGCAGGACTTCAGAGTAAGATGATATTAAATCAGCACTGGATATAATAATGCCTTGTTTTCTTCAAAATAGCTATTCATACTATCACAGATAATAAAATCAAACAAACTAGGATAAAACCATTCTAACTAATGAATGGGAACATTATAAGGCTTCAAGGCAATATAATGGGGAATCACAATTACCATAAATTCTTATGTACTATTACCATTTCTTACACTAGGGAGACTATATGGTATTTATACATGTGAGTTTGATTTATTTCGCTTATGAGTATGGCCTCAAGTTGCATTCATTTATTTATAAATATCTCAATGTGATCATTCTTTATAGCTGAATAGTACTCCACTGTATAAAAATACCACAACTTTTGGGGCTGGGGATTTAGCTCAGCGGCATTAGCGCCTGTCTTGCAAGCAGGCAGTCGTGAGTTCGATCCCTGGTACCAATAAAAAGGAAAAAGACAAAAAAATACCACAACTTTTTTATCCATTCCTCAATTATGGACACTTAAGTTATTTCCAAGATCTGGCTATTACAAATTGTACTGCTATAACATGGGTGCACATACATCACTGTGGTATGATGTTTTCAGTTCTTCTGGGAATATGCCTAGAAGTGGAATAGCTGGGTCAAATGGGACTTCCAATCCCAGCTTTTTGAGGAATCTCTAGACTGACCTCCACAGTGGTTGCACCAGTCTACACTCCCACCAACAGTGCAGGAGAGTTCCTTTTTCCCCACAGCCTCTCAGCATTTGTTTTACATTTTTTTTTGTCTTTTTCCTTTTTATCGGTACTAGGGATCGAACACCCGACTGCCTGCTTGCAAGGCAGGCGCTTATGCCTCTGAGCTAAATCCCCAGCCCTTCTCAGCATTTGTTGTTGGTAGTTTTCTTGATGCTGGCCATTCTTTCTGGAGTAAGATGGAATTTCAGTGTTGTTTTAATATGCATTTCTCTAATAACTAATGATGATGAACATTTTTTCATGTATTTATTTGCCATTTGTATTTCTTAATCTGAGAATTGTATATTCATCTGAGATGCCCATTTTTGGATTGGGTCTTTGAATTTCAGGGGTCTGACTTTTTAAATTCTTTATATGTTTTAGACAGAAGTCCTTTGTCTGAGGGACAGTTCACTAAGATTTCTTTTCCCAGTTTGTGGGTTTTCTTTTCACTACACTGGAGATTTCTTTTGACATGCAGAAACTTTTTAATAAGACGTGATCCCAGTTATTGATTCTGGGAAGTAGTTCCCATGAGGTTTGAGTCCTGTTCATGAATTCTCTACCCACCCCTATGTCTTCAAGAGTTTTACCTAATTTGTCTTTCAACAGATTTAGTGTTTCTGTTTTAATATTCAGATCTTTGATCCATTTAGATTTTAGTTTAGTATATGGTGATAGACATGGGTCTAGTTTTAGTTTTTGGCATATGGAGAGCCAGTTTTTCCAACACCATTTATTAAAGAGACTGTCATTCTTCCAGTGAACCTGTTTGGCCCCTTTATCAAAGACAAGGTGGTTGAATGTGTTGGTAATTGTGGTTGTATCTTCTAATCTATGCTATTGATCTTCAGATCTGTTTTTACTCCAGTACCATGTTGATTTTATTACAGTAGCTCTGTAGTATAACTTCAAGTCAGGGATTGTGATGCCTCCTGCCTTGCCTTTGCTGCTTAGAACTGTCTTTGCTATTCTCGGTCTCTTCTGGTTCCAGATGAATTTGAGGAGTGATTTCTTTAGATCTATGAGGTATGTTGATGGTATTTTAATTGGGATTGCATTGAATCTGTATAACAGTTTTGGGAGAATGGCCATTTTCACAATATTTATGCTTCTTATCCATGAACAAGGGATGTCTTTCCATTTTCTGAGATCGTCTTCAGTTTCTTTCTTCAGGGTATTGTAATTTTCCCTGTATTGATCTTTTACTTCTTTCATGAGATTAATTTCTAAGTATTTCATTTTTTTGGATGCTAGTGTGAAGGGTGTGGGTTCTCTTATTTCTCTATCGGTGATTTTGTTGTTAGTGTTTAGAAATGCTATTGATTTTTGAGTATTGATTTTGTATCCAGCTACATTGCTGAATTTATTTATTAGATCTAGGTCTTTATTTATTAGATTAGGTCTTTCAATGGAGTTTTGGGGGTCTTCTATGTAGAGTATCGTGTCATTTGCAACTAATGATAATTTAAAATCCTCTTTTCCTATCTTTACTCCTTTTATTTCTCTCTCTTGTCTAATTGCTCTGGCTAGTATTTCCAGTACTATGTTGAATAGGAGTGGTGATAAGGGACATCCTGGTCTTGTCAGGCTGGGCAACTTAATAACTTAGCAAGACCCTGTCTCTCCTGTCTCAAAAATTTAAAAAGGCAGGACTGGGGATGTAGCTCAGTGGGAAAGTCTTGAGGTCAGTCAAATCCCAGTACTGAAAATCTGCAGCTCCATACCATTAAAATCTCTCTGGCTCCATACCATGTCATATCCTCCCGGAAAATAATTTTGGAAACATATATTTTCCCACCTTGCTGAATGCTCTGCCATTTAAACTCTATACATGGTGCCTCATACAATCCACACCACCATAGCTGTGCCATAATCCTGCCCTGATAAACCACTCCCTGGAGCTGAAGGGGAGCACAGTCACTTCCATTAGTGTCATCCATCTGTGTTTGCCCTTGATTTCAGTATGTGGGGCTCTGAGGTCAGACATCAATCCTTTCCAGACTTGGCAGGTGGACTTCTGCAAACATAGAATGTGTGACTCCTTGTGCCCAAAATGCAATTAAGTATTGAGTAAAATTCAATCAAAGAAAATCTTGAAGAAAAAGAAATTGAATACTTATCAAGCTTTTAAAGTAGAGAGTTTTTAAAGCTTGGTGAAGGTATAATAAATGAAATCAACAAATACAATAAAGATGTAAAAAGTGTTTTCAAAGCACATTTGAGTAAAATTATCAGAAAGTCATCATTTGACAGACTGCTACAAACTTAGGGATGTTAAGTCATTTGAACAAGGAATGGAGCTGGAATTCAAACCTATGAATATCTAACACCAACGTTTGGGAGCCCAAGAACTGCCCGTCAGTGCCCCAAGCCAATGATGGCTGCTAGGACATATGAATTAAACATATACACATACAGTATATATGTACAAATGTTTATAAGATTATATATCCAGTCTTTTTGAGACAGGGTCTCACTATGCGGTTCAGGCTGGCCTTAAGCTCACTTGTAGCACAGGTTGGTCTCAAACTCTTAAATGCTCAGCCTCCCAAGCTCTGGGATTACAGATGTGTACCCGTACACCTGGCTTTCAAAAAAATTTAATTGTAGGGCTGGTGATATAGGGCTGATGCATGTGTCTATGTGTATATGTATTCAAACACATATAGTATATAGAATAATTTTATCATTTTTAAATAATTTGTAAATTTATAGTGAAGCATTAGGAAAAAAACAAAAACCCTCTGAAACAAGGAAATATAATAATAAATATTCACTCTCTCTAGTGATAAAGACATAAATAAAATCAGATAAAATCCCAATTTTTGCTTATCAAATGGGCAGAAAAAAATGTAACAGCAAATATCTTTAGATATTACTGAGACTATGGTCACCTTTTAGATAATCAGTCTCTCCATATCCAAAGTTTAAAATATCCTGCAGTTAGTTGAAGCTATTTCTGTCACTCCACAAGTATCACTGTGACTCTATCACATGCCAGGCCATGGACCAGGTGGTGCAGGAGTAGCCAGGCAGCAGTGTGGATACTGACAACAGTAGTGACCACGCCAGTCCTGGAATCCCAGGCCAGAGAGTTGTGCATGAGACAGAAGTACACATCGTCCTTATGGAGGTCACTGTTTAAGGTTTCCTGTTACTCAGGCCAAGCCTAACCCTATTTGTACAGAAGGTAAGTGAGTTTCGACAGCTGCTGTCTGGCTTCCTAAGGAAAGAGAGGGCAAGATCACCAAACCGAGTGAGAATGAGGGAAGGAAGTGGAGTGCAAGTAGAAAAGACATGAAATTATCACTGTGGAAAGGGAGAGGCTGGAGAAACACAGCAACACATCTGGACACTGGTAAGTTCCACCATATGTTCCCAGAATCCACCCAAAGTAGAAGAACTTGTATGGACTGTATTCTCTTCCTCATATTTCGAAACCTAATAGACTGAAATATAGAACTAAAATGAACCACTTGTTGGGGAGCCTCTAGTAGGCATCCATGAGAATCATGCAAATATACATTTTTAACAGCCCTTTTTTAAAAAAGAATCCATCCAAATTTCATGAATAATGTGCATTACAGCATTGTTTATCACAGAAAACATGCATGCCAAACTGGAAGAGATGTTTTTAAATGGTTGGTAGGAAAAGGAGATAGTACATATAAAATAAAGTTGTGATATTTTAATTGAAACCCTGAAAGACAAAATAATACATGTACTATGATTACAACTACACAGGGATGAAAATATTGAGGAAAAATACCAAGTTACTAATGCTATTATTCTTTTCTTTTATGGTTTTTTGAGATAGGGTCTCATTGTGTAGATCAGGCTAATTTTGCATTCATATAGCCTAAGCTGGACTCGAACTCACAGTAATCCTTCTGCTCCACCCCAAGCGCTGGGATTACAGACATGCACCACCATATCCAGCACTAATGGTATTATTGATTTCCTTAATTTTATGACACTGTTAAAAACTATTATTTTAAAGTTTCCTGTGAAAGGGGCTGGGAATTTAGCTCAGCGGCATAAGCACCTGCCTTGCAAGCAGGCAGTTGTGAGTTCGATCCCTGGTACCGATAAAAAGAAAAAGACAAAAAAAAAAAAAAGTTTCATGCGAAAGCCAGGTGTGGTGGCACCAGGTAATTCCAGCATTGGGAGGCCAAGGCAGGGGGACTGTTGTGAGTTCAAAACCAGCTATAAAGTGAGCTCAAGGCCAGCCTAAACTGCATAGTGAGACCCTGTCTCAGAAAGACAAAGAAAGAAAGAGAGAAAGTTAGTTAGTTAGTTAGTTAGTTAGTTAGTTGCTGTGAGATTGATCTCCTTCAGTAGAAAATAATCTCCTTTGTTATTCACGTTGTTGCTGTTCCGTAATGCTAGCGATCAGCAAGCTAGTGCTCCACTGCTGAGCTACCCTCCCAATCTAAAAATAGTATCTTGAAAGTAAAATGTGTGTCTGTCTCTCCGTGGCTAATTAACAGGTACCATAAGGCTGGTGCTCAGGACTTCCTAGATACTTGCTGAGCTGACCGTGATCTGCATAATGTTACATGGCAGATGGGGAAACAGTTCTCTTCAGCCAGTTGCTGCAGCAGGGGTTGGCCCCACAGGTGTGTGAATCTGTTCAGGTACTGTGAGTGCTATGCCCTTCTTAGTGCAGGGCTTGTAGTCAAGCCCAAGCTGACCCTTCATTGTGTTGCTGTCCTGAGTACAAGACAATCAGCCAAGCCTCCTGAAACAGGAGGAAGCGTGGTTTCCACTCCAGAGAGTGCAAGGACAGAGCACTGACTGGGATGAGTGATCTCCACTCACTGCCACATGTGCTCCTGCATCTGTTTATGACTGCATCCTGGTATGTGTCAAGTGTCTGTTACATGGCAGCACTACACTAGACACAGGAGACAGAGCATTGAGTGGCCAGTGTAAGCTCCCGGAGCTTACAATCTGATAAGAAGCAGACACTAAGCAAGTAATTAGAACATCACAGATGGATTCTTTGATTCCTGAGTGTGATGCATGGGTATTTATGCCATGGTGTAACACATGCCTCCCTCAGGCCTTATTAGGACGTCCGCAAGTTACCCACCTAGAAAAAAAAAAAAGAACGTCATGGATAAACTGTATTTGGGGAAGCACGGAGTAAACCATAGGAACAGGTGACAAGGGCAAGCTAATCATATAGTTGTAAACAGTAATCCATTAATAATTGCCCTAGGGATGCTGCAGTTCCGGTGATGACCACCGTTCAGAAAGGCAGTAGAGCCCACCGTAGGCAGACTTCTGGACTCCAAGAGAAGCCACTGGAGGAATTCAAGCAGGAGGACTACATCACCTGATTTATGCTTTGAAGAGCTCTCTAAGTGACATGAGATCTGGAAAACACCAGCTTCAACTCAAGGGAGCATGGGAGAGAAGCTCAGAATGGCAACAACAGGCCTGGAAAATAACCAGCCCACGTGGAAAGGGCAACGGAGGACCCCAGGAAGAGGAGGGTCTCTACTAGGAGATGTGGGTGGAAAGGATTTTTCTAAAACACCTCAGATGCTCAAGCATTTACAAAAGAGATAGAAAGGATGAGGAGGTGATGTTCAAACAAACAAATTAAAAAGAAAAAATATAGGCAATTAGACCAGGGAAAACAAAAACAGATGTAATCATGGCATACTATTTAGCTTTGAGGTAAATAATATTTGTATGTCATGATAACATAAGTGATTATTGATTTCAAAATGATGATATTTACTTCCAATGGTTCAGGTAAAAATATACATCTTGCTAGAGAGACAGAAACTATGACAGCAAATAGAATTTAACATTAAAATTTTTTAATTAAAAAATAAAAATAGTTTAATGTTAAGAAATTAAGGATATGTGTGAAATCTTTATATCACTGAGATTTCTGTAACCTTGAAATATTTTCTAAATAAAGAGTCAAAACTAAAAGTATAATTATATAGGGAAGTAGAGATGCTGCTGTAAAAGAATTAAATCCTTTATAATAGCAATAAATCAGTAGATAATGTTTAAAATTACTCTATAAAGACACAGCAGTATAATCATTTTATGAAGTGGTGGTTACTAGAAGAAAGAGCTGAGAACTTCCTGTACATTGCAGTTGAGAAACATGGGCTTGGATGGAAAACTTTTGGAAGTATTTGGATTTTTAAAGCGTGCTTGCATTACTATGATCTAAAAAACGTGTTAATCTTACCAGCCCAAAACTCTCTACGCTTTTCCACTTGCAAAGAATTTGCATTAAGTATTTCAATAAGAAGTTTCACATTTTTTCTTAAAAGATAGGTCCCATACTTTGCTTATTGAATTTTCAGGTAAAACAAGACAAAGAATTTGAACAATTAGTTTAACAACAGCTTTTTCTGGCTGCTCTGGGGAGAAAAATTTGGAAAGGGGTGTCTGCCAGTGATCTCATCTTGTTTTTTGCCAGTAGGCAAAACAATGTATAATAGCTCTCATGGTGCTTCCAAGGCCTAAAGCCAAAAGAGTGTACTAAAAAATCAGTGACAGTTTAACCATTGTGCAAAATGGCACAGGGGAGTGCGGAGTAGCTGTAGTGATAACTTGTTTTCTTCTCTATAATAAAGAAGAAAAGAAAGAAGAAAGGAATAAAAGCAAGGAAAAGAAGGAGAAAGGGAGGGAGGAAGATAGAGAGGGAAGAGAGGGAGAGGGGAGGGAAGAAAAGAAGAAAGGAGAGAGAAGCAAGCTGGGCTCCCTTGTTGACATAGAGCAACCATATGGAGAAAAGCCCTTGACCAAGCCAGGCTCCCCACCAGGTCTAGCTCTGGTAAGGCCCTAGAAAGATAAGACTCCAGCTTTATCAAAGCACTGGAGAAGAGAAACAGCTCTGGATCAACAGCAAGGTAACGAGCCGTGCCAGGGCTGCTGCGCATGGGGAAGTCTTGGCAGGGTAGGTATGTTCAGGAGAGAGGACAGGTGCCAAGCAGCAGGGACTGGAAGAAGCACACGTCAACAAGTAGTGCAAACATGTCAGTGAACGTTCCCTAGTGTCTGCTGGGTGACATTCTGGATCTGAGGGCCTGGTGGAGATGGCTCTGTGCTTTGGAGTTGGTGTCCTGGTAAGAAAGCATGTGGAGCATGAAGAGCAAGACAGTCATCAGCTGTCAACATGGGCTCTGTGGTGGGCTGGCCTTTACTACCTGGGTGACCTTGGATGGGCTCAAACCTCCATTTTTCCATGGGAAAAATAGGGATGATATTAGTGTGTACTCCATAGGAGTCTTGTGAGCATTAAACCAGAGTTCAGCACAGTGACAGGCATACAGTAAGCATATATAATTGCTAACTATTGCCATCAGCACAGGTGACAATTTATGGAAATGAGGGAGGCAGTTACTCAAAGAGAAATAATAAAGCAGAGATAAGGAAGGACTCTTGGTGAATGAGTGAGCAAGGGATCAAAGAAAGAATGGCAGTTACAAGCCCATGACAGGACTGTCCCAAGGGAGCGGAGACACCTACGAAAGGGTATAATAATCTTTTTAAAATGCTCCATGAAAACGTTTACTTAAAGGAAACTTCTGGTGAATGTTTCACAAGGGAATGGTTAGTATTCTTTAAAACTGGAATCAGCCACCACGGACTCTGCCTGACACCGTCGCACATTTTGGTGTCCCTTCTCTGGTACCCTCATCTCAGGGTACCTTCTTTGTGGCTAGTTGGTTGGTTATGTATTGCAGTTATTTTGCTGCTGTTGTGTTTTGTTTTTTGGCCATGCTATGTAATTTATCTAGGTTAATTCTGATGGTTCTTCATTAGAATAAGTCAATGAAAATGGATATGGTTTCTAGAGCCCCAGGGACTAGCTGGACCACAGTGCTTTTCAGATGTAGGTGTGCTCAGATACAAGTGTCTTCAGGTGTGGACATGCACAGGTGACTGTAGAATCTATTCCAGAGGAGACAGATAAAAGTAGTGTCCTCCCTCCCCAGGGGATTTCCAGCCACCTGGCTTGAGTATGAGGGTTAATCTGCCCCTGGATGTCCCTCCTGGTTCCCATGGCAGTTGGTCTAGACCTGCCTCCTCCTGGATATCCTCCACACTCTGCTGCCTCCCCCTCTTTCGGTCTCCCTAAACCAGTTCCTCCTGCTGACTTCCTTATTTCAGAGGCCCACACCTCATTCTCCAGTTCCCCTTCTTTAGAACCTACTCCAGGCCTCTTTCCTTCCTTCTGCTGTTCCCTTTTAACTGATGGGCCTGGCCAGTGCCTCTGACCTCACTTATCTCTGTGGTTTCTTTCTCTCCCTCTGTATCTCTTTTCCTTTCCCATAATCTCCACCTTGAAACAGACTCCACTATTCCTGGTCCAGTTTCCTTGGCCTCTGCTGAATGCTACTCCCAGGCCCTTCTTCCTCCATATTCTTAAAGTCAGGCATTCAAGGATAAAAGCTTTCCACTCTACAAAATAGTTTCTCTCTAACCATGCTTGCAACAGGTGGTGGTTTTACCTCTGAAAATACCACCTCCATTACAGTGACTTTAAAAACAGTATTTAATAAATATTTATTTGAATCTAGCAAACCAAAAATTAAAAAATAAAATACTAAAAATTGTTTTAAATCCAATAAGCCAGCAGGGTGTAGTGTTGCACACCTGTTATCCTAGCAACTTGGGAGGCTGAGGCAAGAGAATTACCAAGTTTGATGCCAGCCTGGACAACACAGGTCTCAAAATAAAATTTTAAAACACTGGGGAGGGCCAGGGATATAACTCAGCAGCATAGCACCTGCCTGACAAATGCACTGTCCTGAGTTTGAATCCAGTACCAAAAACAAAACAAAACAAAAGCACTGGCATAGCTGGCACAGTGGCAGAGACTTGCCAAGCACTCAGGAAGCCTGGAGTTTAATCTCCAGTATGGCAAAAATAAACTTAGCAGACAGATACCCACTTGTGGTTCCAAAGTTTCCTCCTTATTCAGTCCAACTTTCTCATCCTACCAGGTCCCATCTGCCTGTTTTCTGGGCATTCATATGCCAAGCACTTTGGCAAGAACTGGGCACTCAGCTGATGGTGATACCCATGGCTCCTCTCCAGGAACTCATGGTTGGAGCTAAAGAGAAATCATAGAGTCACATTAAAGAGTTCAAATGATAGTCCATGCCAAGGGAGCCATGCAGATCGCTATGCTAAGACAGTCTCACTCCATGCCACTCTGGAACCACTAGCTGAGCAGCTGGTTCCATGCAGAGCTCAGATCAGCTGTAGAGTCTTGGGAATGTTGTTTACCCTCCCTGCTACTCAGGTTCCTCATCTATACAGTAAGTGAACTACCTCAAAGGATATTCGTGAGGCCTAAAGGAGTCACATGTGTGAGATGTTTATGGAGGTACTTGACAGAGTCTGTGTACACTGATGGTAAAGATCATCACTTTTATCATTTGTTAAAGGAAGTTAAAGACAGAAGATACCTTTGCAGACTCCTGTGGGATTTCAGGTAACTTCTGGGATTATAACCCAGAGTTCTCTCCCCAAAAGCTCCACCCAAACTCTCCCAACTCAGACCTCATTCTGCTCCCTCCTCTGAGCACTTCTCAGATATGCATATGGAACAACTGGGGGGAAGAGGGAAGACAGACGCTGCAGCTTTCACCAAGTCCTGTGTCCTGTTGACCTTCAGACCCATTTGACTCACCCAACAAATATTTGGTGAGGACCCACTAGGTGCCAGCCTGTGCAAGGAAGATGCTGCTGAGGGTGATTTCCTGATCATAAGGACTCATGCATTACAGCCCAACAAGTTTGTTAACTGGCAAACACTAGGAAGGAACAGAACACGAGCTGTGTGCCAGGGATGGCTGGGTGCTGTAAGAAAGGCTTTTCAAAATGTTCAACATCCCTGGCCATTCCGAGATGCAAATTAAAAAAACACTGAGATTCCATCTCACTCCAAAAGGATGGCTATTATCAAGAAACCAGCCAGGTATGGTGGTGCACAACTGTAATCCCAGCATTTGGGAGGCTGAGACAAGAGGATCACTGCAAATTCAAGGCTCACCTGGTTTACATAATAAGTTCAAGGCCAAATAGACTACATAGTGAGATCCTGTCTCAAAAATTAAAAAAAAAGAAAAAAAAACAATAACAAATGTTGACAAGGCTGTGGAGGAAAAAGGAACCATTCTGTGCTGTTGGTAGGAGTGTAAACTGGTGCAACTACTGTGGAAGTCAGTGTGGGGATTCCTCAAAAACCAAAAACTAGAGGTTCCATTCAACCCAGTCATTCCCCTCTTTATATATCTTTCCAAAAGAATTACAAACATCACTTCATGGTAATATGTACACACCCATGTTTATAGCAGCATAGTTTGTAATAGCTCAATCTCAGGAATAGCCCACAAATGCCCATCAACCAGTGAACAGGTAAAAATGATGTGGGTTTTTTATATAATGGAATACTGTTCTGCCAAAAAGAAGGACAAGTTTGAGACATTTCTAGGTAAATGGATGCTCCTTGAGACCATACAGTTAAGTGGAACACACAAATGTTTAAAAACCACATTGTTTCCTTGGTGTGAGAAATCAAAACCGCAAATAAGGGCCAAAATATATAACAGATATTGGAAAACGTTCAAATGAGAAGGGGAACACGGAAGTGGGAGACAGAAAGAGGCAAGAAAAAATAATTGTAGGAAAATGGAACAACGCTTTTGTAAATAAGGAGCAAAAGAGGGGTTGAAGGGAGAAGAGGATGGGGAAAAAAAAGAGGAAGCACGAAATATGTGCATGTACAAATTCCCTACGATGAACGTTATCATTATGTATAGCTAAAATGTATCAGTAAAATTTTTAAAATGCAAAAAAAAAAATGAAAATACAGCACAAGTTAAAGAACAATTTTTAGATACTAAAAAAGAAGACAAGGAAGACGAGGAGGAGGAAAAAAGAGAAAAAGGACTTTTCATAAGAAGTGATATTTGTGCTGCGACCTGAAAACCAGTATCACACTTTGAGGAAGGAAAGGTAATCTGCTGCTCTTTTCCCACGGCTCCTGTCATGGAACCCCAAAGTCCTACATGGTACATGAAGAATTTCCAGGCCCTCTGTGAGGGCCAGACGTGAGGCTGTGGACCCTGTCTGTGCCACTGCCACAGTCCTTCACTGAACAGGTGAGCAGCGCCCAAGGAGGACCCCAAAAACTCCGGTAAACAGGTCCTCACAAAACGGGATCTAAAGTTGGTCCCTGAAGTCCCACAGCCAGCTTTCTCCACGCAGCAGCCCACTGTGGAGCTGCCTACGAGGCAGCCATAAAGCTCTGAGCAGCAAGCAGTGTCCCAAGAATGGAGTTGGACGGCCATGGAACAGCATTTGGATGTGCCCGAGTTCCTGCTCCTGTCTTGTAAGATGAGAGTTCTTCCCCGGCCCACCACCTTCGAATTAGGCCGCATGGACCCTTGACAGGTGGATGGGGAGTGACAGGACGGGAAAAGAGGGCTGGAGAAAAGAAGGGGACAGAAGAACCTGCTGCCTGCAAATGGGCCAGCCCTAGATGCCCTCACCAGTCCCAGGGTCTCACACGCTCCTGGCGTCCCTATGGCACCCACCCCACGGGCACAGAAATCGGGGTTGCCAGACAGCGCAAAGCCCCAGCCCTCCTGGCACAGATCTCCGCCGTCGACCCGCACACCTCGCCCGCGGGATTCCCGGGTCTGCCCAGGCTCGGCCTCCAGGGCCACCGGCGACACCCCGAGGGCCGCCCCTCCCTCTGCGCCTCAGCTTTCTCCGGGGAGGTCGATGCAGGGGCTCCGGCGGGCCCTGAGGACCGGACCCGGCACTTGCGGGCGCGCGCAGCGGAGAGAGCTGGCGCCGGGAGCGGCAGCCTGGGCCCCGCCGAGCTCCGAGCGCAGGTCGCCGGGCTGGGCCGGGCCGGACCGGGGCGGACCGGACCGGACCGGGGCGGACCGGACCGGGGCTCCCTCGCCGCCCTGCCTGGCCTGAGGCGGGGCGGCCCCGCAGACTCACCCAGAAGTTGCCCTTGAACAGCGAGCCCGTCATGCCGGCGCAGGTCTGCGGCCGCAGAGGGAGCCGGAGTGCAGCGGACGGCACAGGGAGGCCGGACAGTCTCGGCCCGCGGCCAGGCGCGACTTCGGAGCTGCAAGGTCTCGCTGGGCAGCCGCCCCGGGTCCTAAGCCACGCCCGACTGCGCGGGCGTGGCCCACGCGCTGCGCTTCCCCGCGCGCCGGGAGGGGGCTGGAGGGTAAGGCGTCGCGGCCCGGGGTCGCAAAGCGCCACAGCGCCAGGCGACCTTCAGCACTTTAACCTGAAATTCCCCTCCTTCAGGGAGCCTTTGAGGATTGAAAAACCGGTCCTGTCTCCTTACCCAGCTCTGCTCAGGTACCTGCCCGCATGGCACCCTCAACCGAATGAATCCCTGAGCAGAAATCCAGGTCTGTGGGGTGGTGGAAGGAGCCCTGGCGCCATACAGATCGCAAAGGGTGGTCGTGAGGATCCTGACAAGGCCAGGCACCGGTTGAGGTGTAGATAGCCAGAGGCGCTCATAGACAGATCAGCCCGTGCGCCAGGTTTAAGTCCAAAATGTCCTGGCACAATCATCACTGCTGTTTTCCCTGGACTCTAGAACTTTTAGTGGGGTGCTTACAGACTCACTGGGAGCTCAGCTCCTCTGACATCCGCTTCCCACCTCAGCACCCAAGACCCTTCAGCTGTCCCACCCAAGTAACGAAGGGTTCCTTTCTCTCCTACTCTTCCACCCTGATAACTGTCATCCCGGGGCAAGTCAGAGCCATCTCCACCTTGCAGGAATCCGAGGTCAAAATAGTGCCCCATGCTTCATGCCTAGATAAGCTAAATGACTTGGTCAAGACATAGTTCATTTAAAGGACAAGGAGACAAAGGTTAGAGGTCCGCCCTTCTTGGCAGGGCAAGAAGCCAGACAGCAGTCATTTGGGGGCAGATCCACCCTGGGCTCGGAGCAGGTGCTCAAAGAGTGGAGGATTAAGTCGAGAGTACCAAGATTGGCTCACAGAGACCAAAAACCCAGGCTAATAGACTCTAGCTAGAGCTAGCAGAGAACTGGCAATTGCTGGGGTGGCCAGAAGACCTCTAAAAGGTTCTGCCCCACTCCATCACTCCAAATCCTGTTGTGAAACTCCACTAAGAAAGTCATCAACAACTACAAAAATGGAGAGGTGATCTCCAGGCCCCAGTCTTTCCAGAGACACAGCTGTTCACTTGTGATGCACATGCTTGAAAGCAGGGGGGTGGGGTTGGGGGTTCAGCTCAGCGGCATAAGCGCCTGCCTTGCAAGCAGGCAGTCGTGAGTTCGATCCCTGGTATCGATAAAAACGAAAAAGAAAAAAAAAAAAAAAGCAGGGAGGTTAGAGGGGAACTCAGAGAATTCTGGAAGCACCACCAACAGGGGACAGCAGAAGCCAGGATGGACTTCAGAAGGATAGGTTAAACTGCAGAAAATAAATAAGCAAGGAGTTGGGGCTGGGAGGCATAGTTCAGCATGTAGAGCACATAGAAGGCCCTCAGTTTGAGTCTCAGTACAGAATGAAAAAAATTTTAAAAAGTGAGTATGCCACCATTCCTCAAAAACCAAATCTGAAATCCCAGCACTCTGGGAGGCTGAGGCAGGAGGATTGCAAGTTGCAGCCTAGCATGGGGAATAAAAAGGACTGGGAATGTAGCTCAGTGTGAAGACTCCTAGAATTAATCTCAAGTACTGGAAAAAGAAAAGAAAAAGAAAAAAAAAAAAAAACAGTGCAATAAAAGAAGCTAGAGTCCCAAAGATATTACCAAGATTTTTACTGGAAGTTTTAAGAATTTGGGGCAAATATTTTAGCTGTGAATCTTATTGAGTATGTCTTAATTTTGTATTTCATGCATATTATTCTTAAAGACATTCTCAGCAAGTTCTCATGATATACTGCCTGAATTGCCTCAGAGCCCAAAGATTCTTGAATTTTAACTCTCTTCTACCACCAAGTGGTAAAATTTTAAATTGTAAGTGGCCATGCCTACTGCCTGAAAATATAACCCAATTATTTATTAAACTCATCTCTGGGCCAGGTATTGGCTTAACAAGACAAGAAAGATGTATGCTATATCTAAGGATCTATAACCAATTTAGGATATGTTACCACAAAGTTAAATAATACCACCACAGAAAGTGTGTAATAATGAAATTAACTGCCCAGTACTTATAACCACTGTAAATATGTCGGCATAATGAATGACTAAGTTCTTTACATAAATTTTGGAGTTTCACTTTTTAATGCAACAGTATTTTAAAGGTATTTTTCAAAAGTTATTAAACATTTTTCCTGACAGAAAGGCGTTATCACTGGGTCTGGTAGCACATGCCTATAATCTCAGTACTCAGGAGGCTGAGGCCAAAGGATCGCAGTGAGTTTGAGGACAGCCTGGTTTATATAAGCAAGGTCAAGGCCAGCTAATCTACATAGTGAGACTCTGTCTCACAAATAAATAAATAGGTGTTATGAGTTTGCTTATTTTTGAAATAATCTTGCTATGTAGTGCAAGCTGACCCTGAACTCAGCAATCCTCTTGCTTCACCCTCCTGAATGCTGGGATTACAGGAGTGTTATCACATACCTGGTTACCTAACAGAAAGTTTAATAGCACATTGCTGGCCACTGCATAAGCAAATAGATCCTCTTGCACATAAAAATTGAAAGTATCAGCCATGTTTGCCAAATGTAAAATCTATATTTTGACCTAAAAATTCATTTCAAATAACATGCCTGTTATCATTTGTGTCTAAATATCCCCCCAAAGCATCATGCAGTCATAGGTGGGACTTTTCAGAAATGGGTGGATTTAGAGTGTGTGAGACTGCAATTAATTGTGTGATGCTGGGATCAAGGGTACATGATTACGAAATTAGTCCACTGACTGGTGTGGCATAGTTCCGGGAGTAGATACTAGGGAGGCCCTTCTTGGCCTAATGGCCCTAATGGCATGTATCCTGAATAGAACATGGTGGGCAGAAAAAGAGCTGCTTTGATCACTTGTCACTCACTGCTTGTAGCTTGCTGCTTGCTGACTTTTGCCTACCCTGCTTTGCCATGAACTGTTTCTCCTCTGCTATGCCATCCTGCCTTGGAGCTAGCTGACTATGGACTGACACCTCTATAAACTGTGAGCCAAAATAAACCTTTCTTCCTTCAAGTTTGGGTGTCAGGTATTTTGCCTCAGCAATAAGACACTACTAAGACTCTACTCTTCAAATGTAGTGTCACATGTACACAGTGAAAGATGTATATAGTTTCTCATAGTGCCATGGCTACTCTGGCAAAAGATTTGAAGCAAATATCCATGTATGAGAAACAAGCTCAATATATTATGTTATAGCTATGCAATGATTTAAAAAATGAGAGGACCAGTGATACAGCTTAGAGGCACTGTGCCTGCCTGGCAAGCATGAGGTCCTTCACTCAATTCCCAATACCGAAAATAGAAGAAGAAGAGGAGGAGGAAGAAGAACAAAAAGAAGGAAGAGGAGGAGGGGGGGAGAGGAGGAGGAGGAGGAGGTGGAGGAAGAGGGGGAGGAAGAAGAGGAGGAGGAGGAGGAGGAGGGGGAAGAGAGGGGAGGGGGAGAAGAAGAAGAAGAAGAAGAAGAAGAAGAAGAAGAAGAAGAAGAAGAAGAAGAAGAAGAAGAAAAAGCTCTTTCCATATTATGGTATGGAAAGTATGGAAAACTCACCAGATATGTTACTAAATTAAAAAAGAAAAAAAAGCAAGATACAGAATAAGTGGAAAGCAAAAAAAAAAAAAAAAGACATATTTTCAATGGTTTCCTCTGGAGACTGAGTGACATAGGAGGAAAGGAGACCTACTTTTCCATAATACCTTTAGGTCTTTGAATGTATACCCTGTGAGTTTATTAAAGGCAAAAATAAATCTAATGGGCCTGAGCCGGGCATGGTGGTTCACGCCTGTAATCCCAGCAATGGGAGGCTGAGAGAAGAGGATCATTTGTGAGTTCAAGACCAGCCTAGGCTACAAAATTAGTTCAAGGCCAGCCTGAACTGCATAGTGAGACCCTGTCTCAAAAAGAGAAAAAAAAAAATCTAATGGGCCGGGGATTTAGCTCAGTGCCTGGCAAGCACGAGGTCATGAGTTCAATCCTCAGTACTGCAAAAAAAAAAAAAAAATCTTTAATTTTTATATAATTTCTAATCAAATGGTCATACCAATACTTACTTAGCATTTCTCTAATTTTAGAAATGTTGTGATAAGTATCTTTTATATAAATATCTAAGCACCTGCCTGACAAACTTGAGGTTGTGAGTTTGATCCCCGGTACCAAAAAAAAAGTTTTTTTCTCACATCAAAGAATAGAAATTTTAAAAAAAAGAATAGAATTTTTTTCAAATGCTTTTATTTCAAGGAAAACAAAAAAGAAGAAACAATCTAAACATTTCAAAGTAGGTCAAGCAGGGTAACAAGGTATATATCTTGTGCATTCACATCCCCAAATCATTCACCCAGAGCACAAGACATCTGCTCTCAATCTGAATAATACCAGCACAAATCTTTCTCTTCAGTGAACTCTGAGAAATCAGCAGTATAACTATCTTAAGTAGTTTTTAATATACATATGTATATATACACACATAAACGTTATTTCTTTCAATTTCTCACACTAGTGAGACAATACAGTGTTTACACATGTGTGTCTCATTTATTTCATTTATGAGTGTGATCTGAAGTTGCATCTATTTACCTATAAAAGTCTCTAGTTGATCCTTTATGGCTGAGTAGTACTCCACTGTATAAAAATACCACATCTTTTTTTTTTGGGGGGGGGTGCTGAAACCTGGGAACGAACACGTTTTTTATCCATTCCTCAGTCAGTGGATATATAGGTTGTTTCAAGATCTAGCTATTACAAATTGTGCATCTATAAATATCTATAAATTGTGCACATATATCTCTGTGGTATGGTGTTTTTAATTTTGGGAGAGAGGTAACCAGAAAGGGAATAGCTGAGTTGAATGGGACCTGTAGCCTTTGTTTTTGAGTCTTAGTTTTTTGAGAAATCTCCACATTGATTTCCACAGTGGTTGCACCAGTCTGCATTCCCACCAACAGTGGAGAAGGGTTTATTTTCCCCCACAGCCCCTGCAGCAT